TCCACCGTGTCTCTCTCTCTCTCTCTCTCTCTCTACATTCGTATCCCCATGTGTGGAGATCAACATTCGAGCGCCAAGTTTTGCAATGTTTTTCTCGTTCTCTGCCCTCCTCCACCTGTCCTGCTCGTCCACGCTCCCTCCCCCCTCCATCCCCCTCACCTTTCCTCCACGGCTCGTATCCCGTTTTTTCCCCTGCTTTGGCAAAATTGCATCAATCTGACAGACATACGGACGAGCCCTGCAACGGAGACGAGACTGTGATGTTTTTTGAATGTGGAACTCTCACTGGTTGTACTTTTAAAGGACATATGGTTATTTATCACGCGCGTATGTGCGACTTGCATACGAGTTTGCGGCTTGTTTCGCCGGGCAGGGCGAAATGTATGTAATTGGAAAGGCACCGCCGGTTTTCGGGAAAGGCGATTAAACATTTTCTCTTCGCCGAGATGTAAGTCGCGGTCGCGCGATAGCGGCGCGAAGAACTGGTGTTATAAACGTCTGAGACCATATTATGTTTGTTAGAAATGATGTTGCGTTATTGTCACTTGAATTTCTCAGAAGCCAAACTAATCAATTTTCAAGAAACAAATAGCCGACTTCGTACGTTCATTTATCGTAAGAAGATGAGCTAAATAATAGCAAATTCTAAGATAAATTTAAATAAAAAATTGTATTTGTAATTATTTATCATAGAATGATAATTGTTTTCATGTGATCAATGTAGTATTGTTTACAAATTAATCTACAGAATATTATATATTAAAGTATTAAAGTTGTTATAGAAGTATTGAAGTTGTTACATTATAAAATATGGAAAGAATAAAATCATCTCTCATTGACTGCGAATAAATCGTACATTGTTTGTGAAATATCAAATGAATAAATGAAAAAATTACATGAACATCCATGTTACATCAATCCTTACAATGCGTGTCCTTACTTTTTGACAATATTTAAAGAAACTTTGTTATCTTAACAAAATATATAATAATTATACAATCATTTTCATTTATATTTTTACCACTGTAAATTGAACTACTAACATTTTACGTTAACATTACATACGTGGATATCATTATACACATGGATATTTACATTTATGTAAATTGGTTTTTTTCCAAATTATTAACTTAAAAAAACACAAAGTTATCATACATTTACAAAAATCCTATTTCTATTATAAAACTAATAACTTACACTTTTACATTTGTATGCAACGTGTACGAGAGATCGCGTTCAGCAATTGTTGAATGATTATTTAAGGCGAAGGAAAAATAGAAATTATGTAAAGAATCGCGATCAAATCAACGCTGTTCATTCACTAACTCTTAAATTGTAACGCATCACGTGCGCTTTGCAATGGTTTGTATTTTTTTTCTTCTTCTTCTTCTTGCAATCGCGATTAAACTAACACGCTGACTAAGCGAAGTTTCAGAAACGGTAAACTCCTGAATAACAAATTTTCCATTTCTCTCGAAAATGAAAGAGAAACAAACGTGTTAACAAGCAACGTGGAAAATTTACATGGCACATCAACTGTAAATAATTTAATTTTCTTCAATTCTCATTTATTTTTTCCATTAATCTCGAATATCAAAACGACTAAATATCTTCCTTAATTACCGAATTATCTGAACTTTGCTGTATTAATTGAATAGAATTCAACGCACATTAATTAAATTATTCTCTAAGTTTATACAATTAGTTTGTACAATTTAAAATTATTAAAATTCGTGTATAAAATTAACAAGTTGATATCGATGTATAATGAATTTTACATGTATTAATAAGCTCTGAATTAAATCAAAATACCGTAGAATTGGATAATTCTATAGAAATACAAATAAACAGAACAAAAGAGTAGGAAGACGACATTGCAAAAGATGGAGATCTTCGAACAAATTGAATTACATAATGGGATCAAGATATTGGCAATTTCGGCGACGAGTTAACTCATCCTTTCCAATTAAGAGACTAACGATCCAAATCTTGTATGATTAAAAGAAAGACGAAGTGATTGGTGAAGAAGTGATTTTTTTTTTTTTTCACATTAAGCTTAGTGCGACAGACGAGAGTACGTCGTAAGTAGAGGCGATGTAATATATACGTATATGTACAGGAAATGACCGGCCAGAAGAACCGAGGAAGTTCATATTACAGTGTTGGTTAATGGTGGACGGATGCGTATGCGTGACAGTGAACAGAATGAAAGGCCATCGGCATAGATGATAAAAACGTAAACTTATGGATAGAAGGAAGCGTTCGAAGCCTTTTGTTTATCGATATCCATTTAACATACGAGCAACGGTTGAGTACTTTCGAAATTTCACGTCGTTAACTCATTGAGAAGTCGCATCTGCAATCTAGCGACTCCATATTTGGGCAAAGAGAAGCTCCGATATTTTCTGACGAACGGTACGCTAATTTTCGGCAATTCTTTATGCCACATTTGATTCACGTTCAATTTAACTGCAAACTCTTGAAATTGACATCTATTGTGACATAGTTGGTTGATTTGTAAATTTTACAGATAATTGAATACAGAGTTAATTGTTGTTTAAATTATCTCGACGAATTCAAAACGGACGATTTAAAAAATAATTTTCCTCCATCCTCAAGATATAAAATATTTAGTAAATATTATTCTGAGACAAGTAGCATTTTCGTTTACTTTAATTCTTAACTCTATTTTACTGAAATAGCAGTTTAATATCTCTTGTCGTTTGCCCGCCAAAATTAATATTTATTCCGATTGTCAACAGAGAAAACTTCAAATACCAAAATTCAATGTTAATCCCTTAGCAATTTTATATTATTGAAGTCACTAATATATAACTCAGAATATACACAGGCTAGAATACCCACGTAATATTAAATTTAAATAGCAAACGCGGTGATATCTGTTTAACACAGCCATTTCGCTATGGAGTATGTGTCAAGTTAAAGATAAACGCCAGCAACGCACGCGTATTAAGTTACATTATCATCTAACGTTTAAATTATGTACATACGTCAAAACATAGATAGGAAGATAAACGTTGTTAATATAATTAATGCGAAAAATTACGTCTTATATGCCTCAGATATAATATATTTAATATTTTTACATAAAGGCCACAGATAAAATATTATCGTATGACTACCTGTTCTTCATATGGTTACAGAATAAACCTAATAAATAATATAAAAAGAATAACAAAATATACACTTGGGCGAAATGAACGTGTGTCTTTCTTGGAACAATGTGTGGAAGAATAATTTCTTAAAGATCATCAGGAATGAAATTTTGCTTATATATCTTCTTACATTTCCTCTAAAATATAAAATAATAATGAAACATTTAATTGCGTGACTAAAATATGAAATTTCATTTGTAATAGTATTTAATTGTATAGTATGTAATAGTATTTTTATTTGTAATAATATTTAATTAGTATTATTCAATCTAAAATGAAAAACCTCATTTAAAAAATATTAACATCATTGATATTCATTACGGATCAATATTGTACGTAACAGTTAAATTAATCTCATTCATTTTTTACAAAATAGTGGAATTCATTTTTTACAAATTAATCTCATTCGTTTTTTTTACAAAGTTTTGTCATCAAGAAAATTCTTCGATTTAAATTCTTTGAATTTAGATTCTTTAGCCTTAATCAAATTTAGGCTAAAAAAATGCCTTGCAGTTTTATATTATTTCAGCATTATGTTAAATAATAACCCGAAAGGCTAAAGTATTAAAACTCGACACACGTGTCCATGCATATGTATTATGCATTTCGGACAACATTCATGTATTATTGTGCAATTGCGTATGATGGCCAGGACAAAAAGATAAATTTTTCCTCGTTCTTTCTTGATTTTAGACATCGTTAATCATCCAACACACGAAAATCTACGTGCTTCTTATTAGCATCGTTCTCACGTAAATGGTACTTATGCAGATGGTCTGCACACTGTACACGGCAAACGAAATGCATCGTCCTTTAAACTTCTTTTATTTTTACTGACTTGTTAACCTTGTTTCACAGGGTGAAAATATCGCCGAACATTTTTCACCATCATGTATATTGTTAATGTGAGAATTTCATATTAAATTCCAGATTTTTACACTGAATAACAGAGTTGGCAAATAATGAAAGTTTCTTCATGCAAATGTAGAAAGTGAAGCACACAATTAAGTTTCTTATCTGTTCATTAACATAACAAAATGTTTATCTGGAGATCACGATCAAACTGTACATCGCTGGATAGTTATAAATACTATACAGTATTTATATTATATTATAGTTATATATACTATATAGTTATAAATGTAGATAATTCTGACGTGCAGATAAATACGTTTCATTATTAGTAAAAGGTATACAAAAAGACTTGTACATACTTCTTGTGGGCCATCAAAATGCAAATTAAATTCTTGAGAAATAATTATTAATTTCATCATGTTGTATCTTCGTTGAATGAACAATAAGACATGCTGGCACCACATTGGACCAAGAAAATTTTCCGTCTAACGTAATTGGTAATTGAATTGGTAACTATTTCTGAGAAAACGCGGACAAACGTGAAAACATTGATCACGCCGGTTACCTAGAGAAGAAGAGGAAATGATCAATGTAGCACCTGGTAACTCCACGTTAACTACTCGAGAGCAGACATTAAATTATTGACAATTTATTTTAATGCCAACCTGTCATGCAAATGAAATTGCACTACTACTGATAAATATCTTAATACTTTAATTAAGTTTTAGTAAAAGATAGCAGCATTTTGTATTTTCTTATATACAAATTGCAAATAATAAATTTCTATAAAAGATTTCAGATTTGAATATCTTTTATCATAGTAAATAAATCATCTACCAATTTATCGACTAAATTAACTATCTTTATCAACTGATATATCTATTCAATTTAAATATATGTAATTTGCAAAATAAACTTAAAAAGATTGGCCAATTATATTCACATTATTTTATTTCAATTATGCAAATAATTTTATAATTATTTTGAAACTAAATTACTAAATCTTATTAAAAGCAAATATAGTATAGATATTTTTGCATGATAGTAATATATTGTTCGAATTCACTTAATATAGTGAACAGTAAGCAATTTTGATAGAAAAGCAGTCTAATTGAAATCGTGTACGATTTATACGCGTTGAAATCATTTTTTCTTCAACTTCACCGAAGTCGAATATTATGTAATGAGACTTTGTGATAAAACGCGTCTTTGATTATAATGCACAATACTCGTAATCTTTTTGCTGATTGCATCGATTCTGTCGATATCGAAAATAATCGTTCAAAAACAACGAAACGTATCGAACCGCGACAATCTTTACACTTTCTTCTTTCTTTCACTTGGAACAATGATGGACAGCTGTGTGGTGTTTCATGAAATATGTTGCAATGTTTAATAAATTTATTATATCGTTCTATCAATTAGACTTATCGAGCCACTATTGAAAATCAGTCTAAACCACCTTATCCAATCGTTATAATGGAAACGTAGATTCTGCATTTGAACCAAATAGGTAAAAAAGTTGAATAATTATATTCATTGCTTTCGTGATTAGAACTCAAGAATTCAGTCGAGATATGTTTTATTTGTATCAAGAATGAATTTATCAAGGTCAGAAAAATATAATCATTCTTTAATCGTATTTATTCCAAATATAGTAAATGTTCAAAGAAATGGGACGTGAAGATTTCATGAATCAATTAAATAGAATTTAGACTTTAGTCAGGATATATTTAGATTTTGTATGTTCATTATTCTTCCCCTATTTTATACCTTTCCCAATAATCATAAATCATATAATTATTAAAAGATAGAACGCTGTAACTTTCAGTAATTATTTTCAACTGAATATATATTCATATATTCTTTTTATATATTCAAAACTAATTGCTTCTTCAAACGTACTGACATGTAAAAATTTTAAATACGTATTATCAAACTATTGTCAAAGAAACATTTTTTCTAGAAAACAGTGTGCTTGCACTCCAATTCTGCAATGCATTGTTCATGCTCATTTCGTTAGAATTAGAATCGATCAAATCGTTTCAGGAATGAAAGACAAGAATCGTATATGTTCGTACGAACTGCAAGAAGAGAGTATGATTCGTAGAGAAAGTGGGAAACGTATTTACACCCGCGAGTAATCGCACAAGCATCGTGAATTCTGGTCTCATCGTCTTCTGCAATTCCTAGCAACTCTAGGAAGTATAGGAGCACCTACATATTCGTATAACGTGTGCTCTGGAGAAAAGACGAAGATTACCTCGTAATTCGTCGTAATAATTGAAAACAAAGCGTGAACACTGTGTATCTCTTCTGTTTGACCTGGTTCCAACTGATTCAAATATGTGAATGGGACTTTCTCCCCTGTCGCGTGAAAATATAAAGATGTCACGTTATATATAGAAATTGTCCCTCTTTTCCGAATATTGATTTCTGTAAAAAAATATTAAAGGTTACTTTCGATTCGGAAACTACTGATTACTTTTTTTTTTTTTTGAGAATTAAGTTATTATAAATATTAAAAGAGAATAAATGTAAAATAATTGGCAATTAATTTATGAAATCAATACAGTTTTACATTGCAAACGTTTTATATATTCTCCTTTAAAGCTTACTAAAAACAATACGATATTTATAGAGCGAATGTTTTTATACTAATCTATTTCTTTTATATTAAAAAATGTTCAGAAAGAGTTAAAGTTTCAAAGGAAAACTTTAAGTAATTGTTAATATGAATAATTCTTGATGTCGATCAAACAGGACAAGTTTAATGTTGGAAAAATAACGTCCAATAAAAAATTAGGATGTTATTAATCAATCAACGTCATTTAGGTTCTTTGTAGTTGCTTGAAATCTAACAGGATTTCATTCCTTTGATTGGACAACAATAACGCACTCTCGCCATCAAAGTGAGTGATGGATTTATTATCACATTCGTTTCTCAATGCATAGATACACGTATATAATCCTTCCTGAAATATTTATTATTTCATTAATTGATTATATTGCCATTGGTTCATCTTAATATTTTCGAAAAAAATTCAATGTGCAAATATGCAAATTGATCAAATTATGTTCTTCAATTCACATTACGAATTTCATGAAATACTATCACGAAAGGTAACCTCCTTATGAGGTTAACCCATAATCCATATGAAAGAATACTTTACCTCGAGTCCTATATCGGTGTTAATTACATTATAATGGGGACAATAGTGCAATTAAGTACATGCACCAACAGTTTTAATCGCAAACTACTCTTGTAATTATAGACGGTTGATATCAACATTAAATACGTGTACAAACTCCTATTTAACAATCGATTAATCGATTTATAATCTCAAACTTTTAATTTTTTTTTTTTTTTAGATAAAGAATCATGTACGATTTTCATCTTACCTCCTGCTACGATATAACATATTTTGATTCTATTAATTGAAATCTATAGAAACAATATGAATAATACATCGTTGTATACTTTAATTCAGTAGAAACCAAGGAGTTGATACGCTCTATTAAACACAGCTATTTTTTTCTCAGTGTAATAAAGCGTGGTAGCTTTAAACGACATTTTATTATTTGAAATTATGATTAATGATTTTCTAGTAATATTTTCACTTTTTTCGATTCATAGACTGGCACTATTTAATGAATTTAATAACGAAATAATGTCAAATTCATTACAATGTCCATTAAGACTCGTGAATTACTGAGTTCGATAACTTGAAGCGGCGATATCGAAATATTCAATATATCTCGATTACCGCAATAATAATTCACATCAATTGAAATATATAATCGATCATCGATAAAGTAACCTTAAAGTTCAATTTATTCGAATCATTTGAATAAATAGATATTACTCTATTCTTCGTTAATGATATTTACTCATAATCTATTTATTACTAATTTTATCATTTCCGCTGTTAATTATATTTTTGTTTTTTCCCTACTTTATTTATTGTAAATATCTATGTAATCTATAAAAGCGAAGATTCAACAGAACACCATCGTCGCTTGATAAACATTGATAGAAATTATTTATTAAACTTTGTTGTATAATTGTATGAATTGTGAGGAGAGATGCATCCTAGAGGGTACAATAGAGAGGTTAGATTAGATACAAAAGAATTTTATCATTGTATAAGATCTTAAGCGCTCTTTCTATATGTCCCATAACAGTATTATTATATTAATTTTGCATAACTATCCCATAATAAATTGAATAAAGATATACATATGTATTAAAAACATTTGAATTAGGCTTACGATTAAGTTAAATGATTGTGTAGTGGGAAAAATACCAGACACCCAGTATAGAAAAGCACTTTGCGTTAATACACAGCGAGCTACTTCATAAAGAAAGAAGTAGATCCAAGGGAAAAATATGTTTTCACCATGCGGGTGGGGAATGCACACCGATGCATAAAGCGCATAATCGTACACGCTTAGAATCTTTTGATCTCTTTCATATATATGTACATGTAACATCCTAAGTGGATGCTTGTGTCACTGTCGTGAATACTCGCTTTCTCTGACAGTAGCGTATCTATGATCTTTCTCGATAGCGATATATAGATCTATATTAGATCTGAAATTAGAATGTTTCTATTTTATGATTTTAAATTATATTAGTTAATATTTTGCAATAAACTCCATTTTTTCATCAAATTTATTTACGTATATTCCCAATTTGTTCATTAATATTTTTAAATCTTTCGAATTTGAAAATTTAACAGATTATTTACTATATACTATTTTATAGTAGTAATAAGAAGTATTCATGTTATAATTTATACGATTTTAAATAAAAAGTTGTAGAACGAAATAAAATATTAAGAATAATTTTTGCATAGTATATTATTACGTTCCTGATTAAAGAAAGAACATATGTTTCTTGTGTACATTTCAAATCATACAATTTGACATATGAGTTAGATATATATTTTTCAAATAAAAAAAACAAGACTAAGAATACAAAATTTCAACATTATTATTCTTTGTATATAATCTAATCATAATTCATTCAATTATGTTACAATATAAGGAAAATCATTTTGTTTTCAAAAGGTGTTATTAAATTAACAAAGATTTATCTCGTATTAAAAAGAAAAGAAAAAATTTTAAGAAATATCTTCTTTTATTATTAAAATATTGAATTTATATATTTTTCAATCCATTTCAATCGATACAATTTTATTGCAAATAATCAGATACTGACCTCTAGCGGCATATGTTGCACGGTAAAGAGTAACATGTGCGTTTAAATGTTTCAACATTTGTAGTTTACAAAACTCTGAACTTTGTAATTAATATTTGTTTATGGCTTCAAGAATATTAAATTAAAAATTGTGAGTGTATTACATAAATTATATTTTTAAACATACATAAATTACATTTGTCTTCTTGAAAAGAAAATGTAATGAAAATATAACCTTATTTGTAATCAACAATGGTATTATTTTCTTTTGTTCTTTGTTTCAAACATTAATTATATGCAAAATGTGAATTACCTTCTATAGATTTTATAATAATTATGTTTATAATTTATAATAATTAGGTTTGCTTCATTTGAAAGTTTGTTTCACTGTTTGTCATTTTTATCATGTTTAAAAAATTGCATGATATAATTACACGAACAATTATGCAGACTGTCAAAGTTTATATTTTTGTTATTTAAACACGTTTATTAATTTGTGCAACTGAAATAAATTAAACAATATTGTATCCAATATTGTTATATCCAGTTTATAACTTCTGTAAAAACATATGCTGTGCTATTTATCAAGTGGCATTTTTAGTATTTAACAATGGATAGTAACCAAATAATGGGGAGGAAAATGATGAAACTTATTATAAATACATTTTTATAGTAAAAATCAAATTGATTATTGTGTTAACGTTATGAAAATTATATGAAATTTAAAAACCTTGTTTTTGAATTTTTGTATAAATAAATGTATTTACTTATCAAAGGTTATATTCAACCCTCATCTTTACATTTCTTACACAGAGATGTATAACATTTCTTTGATGTTTATCATACAAATATTATTTAAATTTTTTTTCTTTTTCTTTAATTTCCTTCAATTTCAGGTAATTGTCATTGATATATCAATATCAAAACTATAGTATAGTAGATAACATAAAAACTAAGTTTCACATATAACCTCATACATATATTTCTTGTTAAGAAAATGTAAAGTAATGAATATATTTCAATTCTGTAATTTATTTTATCTTATTATGTTATGTATAAATAGTATCTTGTTATGTATAAAATTTATGAATTTTCTTTAAAATATATCATCAAATTTATGTTTTCACCTTCTTTTTGCTTTAAATTGCAAATTATTTTTTATAAACAATGTAAACCTTTTATTGATGTTTAGTCTAAAAAATAAAAGTAATAGCGATCAATGTTTTAATTTGATTTATAAATTTATATGCAAATTTTCATCATTTGTATTTTTAAAGGTGGTTGACTTTAATCTTTTTCAAAAAATACAAGAAAAAGAAATATCATGAAGAATCTAACAACAAAACAACTACAAAGAATAGAGAAAAAGAAAAAGAAAATGGCAGCACTTCTGGAAATAACTAAATTAAATGATAAAGATAAAGAAGCTAAAATGCTTGCTCTTAAAAAAACTGTTAGTATACTTAACTAAGTTATATTTTTATATTTGTAAAATTCATGTGATAAGTGAACTTGTTTTAGTCTACAGAATTAGACGAATCAAATGATATAGACAGCAGTGAGGTTTCTATGGAAGAAATTGTGAAACGTAAACGTCCATGCGATGAAAATTTGGAGGAAACATTTTTAAATAATTCTGTTGAAAAAGAAAATGAAATAGATACAGAAGAATCAGATACACTTGCTAATAAAAAGCCTAGGTTTGTAATAAAATGTTTATATTTAATGTGATATATGAATATGTATTATTATTATATTATTATTATTATTATTGTTATTATTACTATTACTATTACTATTATTTTTGATATAGATTAAGTGGAGATGATTATTTAAAATTAAAACAAAAATTGAGAGAACGTAAAAAGAAATTAAAAACAATGCCACGATTTCGTTTAAAAACAGTTGGTGAAAATGCTAGCTTAACTATTAATGTTAAGAGTGAAAATAGAATTCCTATTTTTTTTAGTGATATACAACATTTATTATTGTACTCATTATGTGGTCATCATTCACCCTATATGCCAACAAGATGGTGTCATCTTGAAAAATATAACAGGGTAATGTAAATATTAAATATATAAAATAATAACTGAAATATTTAAATTTACAAATTTTTTTAAGATCACACACACTGTGGTTCTTGTTATTGAAGGACTTTCATTATATCATTTTATGGCTTATGAAAGTATGTTTCCATATATAAGATCAAAGTTGAAACATCGAGTAGAAGTTGTGACACCAGCAGCCTATGGAGGATCAGTAATAGAAGAGCTTGCAGCTGTTCCCATAACCGGAATACAAAGTGATAAATTACGTAAAGGTATGTGCATTTTAAAATAATAAAGTATTTGTATAATATATAAATAGCATATTTGATATTTCAGAATATGGATCATTAGAAGCTGCATTACATAATAACGGTGATGTAATAAAATTATTACGAATTGTATTTCCAATGTGTGGAGATCCATCGAGAAATGCGAAAAGGTTGAGAACATATGATCTTCCTGAAACTGATAAATTTCCACGTACAAAATTACTTTTATCTTTATGTCAAATGGTAGAAGAAAATTATCCTGTTCCACTGAAAGGCGAATTAGCAAAAAAGTTAGTACCAATAATATGAATATTTTAAAATATTAAATTTAGACATTAAATAAACGAAAATTTTATATTTAGATATGAGAATTATATAATGACAAAAGATGTTTATGTAGAAACCAATGAAAAATCTCCAATGATTAGTTTAGATTGTGAAATGTGTAAAACAACTACTGGAGAATTGGAATTAGCGAGAATATCTCTCGTAGATGAAAGTATGGAAGTAAGTTCAATTTTAAAGTTATTAAAATAAGCAGGGTATACAAATTCTATTAAATTCTTATCACAGATTATTTACGATAGTCTGGTAAAACCGGATAATCCTATCACGGACTATCTTACTCGATTCAGTGGTATAACAGAAGAAATGTTAGAAGGTGTCACAACTACGTTGTCTGATGTTCAACAAATATTACGAAAATTGCTTCCTCCAGATGCAATTCTTGTAGGACAAAGTTTAAACTGTGATCTTCATGTGTTGAAAATGATGCATCCATACATCATTGATACATCCATAATTTTTAACATTACTGGTGACAGGTACATCATTTTTTAGCTTTATATTATAGTTATATTCTCATACAAATTTTCTTAAGCAAATTGTATTAAATTATATACTATATTGTATACATTTATAGATATCGAAAAACAAAATTACAAACTTTAGTCAGACAATTTCTCGGTGAAAGAATACAAGAAAGTCAATCTGGCCATTGTTCAGCTGAAGATTCACGGGCTTCTATGAAATTGGTACAATTAAAATTAGCAAATAGTGTGAATTTTGGAGATGCTGTATTATTTGATTGTAACATGGAAATATTAAATATACACCAAATGATAAATGATCAAGGATCATTAAGAACTGAGATACAAAAATATGCCACCTCAATTTTCAAATATGCAGTTAAAGATGAAAAAACTGCTGCCATTGTGGGTAATAAAGAAGTGATCAATGAATATTCGAAATATTTAACTTCTTCTATCAATATTATGGATGATGAAAATTTTGGTAAAAACGATCAAGTATGCAATCAAGTATTTAATCTTAAATCAAATACATATTAGTAATATGTAAGATTTATATCATGATAATTTTACTGTTATGCAGGTACGTCTTGTAATCGCAAACAAGGATAAACAGGCTGTCCTTCGAGCTTCACAAATAGCTACAAAACATGTTTTTACTTTATGTCATGTTAAGATAAAACAAGAAAAATTAAAAAATGATAAAATACAAAAAACGTTCCGTACTGTAAATAAATGGATACATAAATTGTGGAAGCATATGGCAGTGAATGGTTTAGTATGTGTTATATTTACTGGAGAAAATCATGCAGCAAATGGTGCTTGTTTTTTGAATTTGAAGAAAGATTGTACGATACAAAATAGAGAAATTAATAAATTAAATTAAAAATTTAAATTTTTTTATTCTTTGTAAATTTAATGAGAATTTTTACAATATGTAAAAATCTATTGAACAGAACATATACATTTATAAGATGGATATCAAATTAAAGAAAATATTGAATTTAATTAGATTGATTTAAAATTTTTATTAGACATTAAACATTTAATTATTTTTATATAATACAAAATATGGATTATTTTAAATATACAGTAATAATAAAGATAATAAAGTCGGGAGTTACAAATAGAAACAAATATCCATATCGTTTCATTTTGGGATTATATCTTAATTTTATCATATATCTATAAATAAAGTAATATTGAACATGTATGCACGGTTTTGATTAAAAATAAATTAAACTTTATATTAAAAAATATACATTATTTTATGCTAATAATAAATTACAATTACAAAATGATCGCAATTATAAAAAATTAAAAGTAAAAGGACTTTTAGTCATTTATCTTGTAATTTTACGAAAACAATTTTTTAAAAAATAGATATGTAAGCACTAGAATAATAAAGACTACTAAGATAATTTTTGGAGCAATTAATTTTTTTAAAATACAAGATGAATTGAAATACGTATCCTATAAATTAAATATTAATTGTGTAATCAATATAATATTTAAAACTATTTTGTAATGCCTACAGATCATATAACGCAAAATATGATTTAAAAATTTAATATGGTTTATTATAAAACTTTTGTTTATCTAAGGTTTCTTGCTTTTTCAAATACATTAAGTAAGCAGAAACAGGCTGTCGTGAATTCCTAGCAAGCATCTTTTCCCGAAATGAACTTGTTTTTGGAACTTTCTTGCTTTTTTTAATTGTTTGAATATCGATAACACTAAATTGAGTTGTACTTCCAGAACAACTTGGTAAAGTAAGAAAATCGTCTTCTACAGTCATATTTTTTACCTTTATAACAGGTTTGGAACTAACTGTCGAAAATTTTTCTAGTACTCTCCTTTTTTTCATTGATTTTAATGGAACATCCGATAAATTTTCAAGCACATCATTGGCAAGCCGTTTCACACCTTTCCCTTGTTCTTTCATTTTACTTTCTGTTATTTGATTTTTGGGTTTCAATTCTTTGATCTTAATTTCTTTTTGTTTCTGCATTTTTTCTGTGTGCTCTTTTTGTTTCTTCTTTTTCATTTCTTTGTTAGCTTTAATACTATCAGCAGTACGTTTTAACATTTCCATCACATCATCTCGAGCTTTAGAGAATGTAATCGTTTCTGGTCCTTCATCAGACTCAGATATTGCATTTTTCAATTGTTGTTTTTTATAATTGCTTTCTAATAGTTTTTTCTGTTCCTCTGATAATTTTTTAACTGAAACTTTTCCATGCTGCAAAACATCATCTTTTATTAATAACTTCTGCTTTCTGTGTTTCTTCTTAGACGGTTGATCAATCAAAACATTCTCATTTGGTAAAGAACTTGAAATTTTCTTTTCTTTCTTTATTATTTTACTCTTTTCATTTATTAAATCTGAAACGCTTTCAATTTCTTTTTCTTTCTTTTTTTTCTTTTTTACTTCGTCATGTATTTTTTTATCTCGACTTTCTGGTTTTGTTTCAATTTCCTTATTTATTTTTTCTTGTATTTGCACATCGATATTATCTTTTTCCTTTTTCTTTTTTTTCTTTTTCTTATTTTCTTTTTCTATTTCATTATTATTGTCAATATTGGGAATAGGAACAAACTGTTGAGTTGTCTTTGTTAATAATGAATCATTATCTTTTTTAAAATCATTTCTAGATAAAATAACATTAGGAGTTTCTTCAAATGTTAGTTGCTTTCGTTTTTTATGTTTCTTATGACGATCGCTTTCTAATATGTTTCCTGCTACTTTAAGCAATTTTCTTTTTAATGAATCACTTACATCTGCTGTTGCTTTCATCTTTTGTTTATCTTTGTTTTCGTTTTCTGTTTTATTTTGATCATTCTGTATGCTACTATTAGTAGCAATTATTAATTGAACTTCCTTAGACTTAGCATTTAATTTTAGTGTTGGTGCACTTTCGTTTAATTTTTCTTTTTTCAAATATTTTGTTGTAGATGTCTTATTTTTGGAAACTAATGTTTCTTTGTTTAATTCTAATACTTTAGATGACATTGGTCTTGAGAGATTTGTTTCTGTTGTTAATTCAATTAATTCAGATGGTAGACTTTTATGAATCAGACTTTCATTGATTTTTATATCATCTAATTTTTTTAAATTTTGTTTTTCTTTGAATATCAAGTTTTTATTTCTTTCTTTGTCAGAAGAATCCTGTTTTTTAATATCACAGATTTCTTGTTTAGATATATTTATTTTAGGAGTACTACATTCTATTGATCTTCTAAACTTTTCTATTTTGGATAGTTCAGACTCGTTTAATAACTTTTCTACATTCTCACTTACAAGTTCTCCAAAATCTTGTTTTTGTTTTATTTTTTCTGTTTCAAAAGACAAATTAGTATAATTATCTTCCTTGTCGTCTTTCTCTGTCTGAGATGTATCTATTTTAACTTTCTTCTTCTTCTTCTTTTGGTCACTTCCAATAGTCTGAGATATACTTAAATCATTAGATTTTCTTGATTTATTTTCTTCTGTATTGGAAGTATCCATCAATTTACTTCCATCTTTTATCTGAGATGTATCTATTTTAATTTTCTTCTTCTTCTTCTGGTCACTTCCAATAGTTTGAGATATACTTAAATCATTAGATTTTCTTGATTTATTTTCTTCTATATTAGAAGTATCCATCAATTTACTTCCATCTTTCATCTGAGATGTATCTATTTTAATTTTTTTCTTCTTCTTCTGGTCACTTCTAATAGTTTGAGATATACTTAAATCATTAGATTTTCTTGATTTATTTTTTTCTGTGTTAGAAGTATCCATCAATTTACTTTTATCTTTTTCATCATCATTTTCATGTTGTTTTTTCTGAATTATTTCTTTTGTTTTTTTCTCATCATCTTTCTCATTATCTTCTTTAACATCCTGTTCATTATCTGGATCATTTTCAATTTCAACTTCCTTCTCTTCACTTTCAATTCCTTCTTCATCCTCATCATCATCAACTACAAAATCTGCAAGATCTGATCCATTATCATTTGAATCTGACGATTCCGTTTCTGATGCTCTACATTCATCTCCTGGCACATCATCATCAGGAAGTTCTAAACCATCAAAATTATATTCCATTTTGATATCAGAATCTATGCTGTTATTAGATTCACTGTTATCGTCGCTATTGTCGCTTATTCCACGAAATAAAAATTTTGGTATTTTCAATGATTTATTTGGTAAATCATCAAAATCAGAAATATTTCTACTTTCATCAGAATTGGATCCAAAATTAGCAACGGTTGAATAACATCGATTTAATATTTTCTTTGCTGTATTATCTTGCTTCTCCCTACATTCAGCTTTTTTCAGTTCGTTGTCAGATTCTTCTGCGATTTCTACATTTAACTGTTGTGGTTTTATTTTTTTCTTTAAAGTATTTAATAACTGATCTTTTTCATTTTTCTTAGCAGATGCAAGTACATTTTCACAATTAGATTTATTTAAAGAATTCCTCTTTTCTACAATTTCTTCATTGAATTTTTCAAGTTTGTTTGTTTCTTGTATTGACTTATTAAGAGATTTTCGTTGTTTTGGAATATCTTCAGATAAACTTTCATCTTCTAATGATTTTTGAATGGATTTATTATTCTTAAAAGTAGAATATTTATTACTATTTTTTGTCAGAGATACATTCTTATCTACATTTATTGACATTTTTACATCTTGTGTAATATTTTTCGTATCTTCCATTGTATTCCCTTCTTCGTTTTTATTTTTATTTTCTTTCATGATTTTTCGTTTCTTTGCACTGGAAGAGTTATCTCGACTATCATTTAAATTGTATTCTTCTTTTAATGTATCCATAAGTTTATCTTCATTCTTTTGTGCTTTCATGAAATCTGTAAATGCTTTTGATATAACAGTATCATCCGAATCATAATCAAAAGTATTTGTTTCTTTGTTTGTTTTCAAATTTTCCGCAGCTAACCATGCTTCTCTATCGACTAAAATAAGATCACATTCACCTTCGCTTTCATTTTCAGTTGAGTTTAAATGTATAGGTTTTTTATTAGTATTGTTATCCTTTCCTTTCCATTCACTAGCTAGAATATCTTGAAATACATTTGTCATATTTGTATCAGAATCATTATTATCAATTTTCATGTCCGAATGTTCCTCACTCAATTCTAATTTGTTTTCACATTGTTTCTTCAATGTCGCAGAATCAGTAAAATCATCCACTACAGAAACTTTCTTTGAATGTTCTTCTCTTTTAGATATTTCTTCAACAAGTTCAGCAGGAGTCTCTGTAACAATGGAAGAGTTACTGCTTTTAATCACGTTACTTACATCAACTTCATTTATATTATTTAAAACAGAATCTTTTGGGTTCGTATGAGTGTCTGAGGATTTCAACAAATTGTTGTTAGAAAGTAAATTATCTATTTCAATTTTTTGCGAACAATGTATATTCTTGTGCTTTGAAACAATGGAACATTGAGTATCTGAAATTAATTTCACATCTGTTGAATTCGGCGAATTAATATCACTTGATTTTGGAAATGCAATTAATTTTGTACAACTTATTTCATGTTTTTCATGTACATCTTCTGACATATTTAAATTATCATTTTTCTTTTCTGTATCACACTGATCACTAATTACACATTGGCTTGTATTATTTTCTTCAGATTTATTTTCATTCATATCTTTCTTTACATTTGAAGTATTCATTTTGATGTCTACATTTTCTTTATCTTCATTAATACATATTTCCTCCGATGTTTCATTTAGTTCATTGCCAATTTTTATAGATTTATCTACTGTATTGTAATCTACTGTATTGACATCTTTTGTATGTTTCACAATTTCAACACAATCATTTGAACTTGAATTTATAGATACTTGTATAGAAGTTTTATTTAAACTTTCACTAGATGGACTGCCAATGATTGATTCTGTTTCTGTGTTTACAATTAGTTTTTGTAAATTATCAGATTTATCTCCTTCATCCGTTGAGACATTCAAACTTATAACTGATAAATGCACTGTACCACTAGTATTATTATTGACTTTTTTGATGGAAACATTTTCATTTGACATTTCTAATAACTGTTTAGAGTGATGACGTTTTGGCGATAAATTTGTTTCAATCCAGGAATATTTGCCTGTTTCTTCATCTGACACAGATAAAGATTTCGAAGTTTCTTGTTTACTAAAAGTTGCATTTTTTGTATCTTGTATGTCAGCAACAATATTTGTTGTAAGATTCTCTGTATTAGAGTGACTATCATGTTTTTCCATTGAATTATTTGAATCATCAAGTTTTAAATCTATTTCTGTGGACGTGTCTTTCTTTTTAGAATCATCATCATCCATTAACAGTTCTACTTCTACAGATGTTCCGCTACTTTCTAGTACATTTTTATCATTATCTGATATTTTCTTGTTATCAGCAGATACATTGTTTTCAACATCTTTAACACTATTAGAACTATTTGAAGAAAGATTTTCTGGAGAATTGTTGTATGACCCCTGAACTGTTGTAAATGTAAATGTAAATTTAATTGTTAGTTTGTATATTATTTTTCATTAAAAAAATATTAATAGAATTTTTAGTTAAAAAGTGCAACATTGCAATCTAATATCAATATATCATACCAATCAGTATAATATACTAAACTAAATTATAACAAAAAATTAAACTTACCATTATCTTCTAAATGTTTTTCATCTATACTCTTTTGACTTGCATTGAATTTATTTTTGGAAGTTGACAATGATTCGTTTTTTTGTGGTGTCTTATCAAGAGTTTCTGCTTCTAAAATTCAACACAGCACTAGAAAATTAGATTTTTTTAAAACTTAAGTATATCTCTGAGATATAATATACCTGTTTCTTTAATTTCAATGACATTAGATAAAGTACGATCTAATGTCACAACAGCAATCTTCTTACATTCTTTCTCCTCTAAAACCGTTGTTTCTGAGGGTAACACTGAAGCTCTTCTTCTTGTCTTAATAGGTGTACTTATTAATTCATTCTGATGTTTGTCTATAAACTTACTTGATGTCATTGCTTCAGGTTCTATAGAACTAGCTCTAGTATTACGTCTAGCTCTTGTTGTTGGCGGAGATTTTGTCTCTGAACCAGCTCTTGTAAAACATTTACTGAGCAATAATAAAAAATGATATATAATTATAAATAATAAATTCATACATGCGCACACACACATAAATTACTGTTTAAATTGTACCTTCTTCGAGTGTTGACCTTATTACTATCATTGGAAGCATTGTTTCTAGTTTTCCTTGTTGGTGTGCCAATATCTGATTCTGGAAGTTCATTAATATCAGAGGACATAGAATTTATTCTGGAACGTAACATTCGTCGATTTTCAGCAGTAGTAGGATTATCCATGACAGCTATTCCTCGTTTCTTGATTTTTGAAATCTGTATATTGCTCGTATCGTTTACAGGTGAGTCTGGTGAAGATTCATTTTGTTTTGACTTATTTCGAGTGCTACGACGAAGTGGAGAATCAAGCAATGCTGCCTCAATGTGAGCACGGGTCTTGCGGCCTACTATTTTAAAGGCAAGATGAAGAAAAACAAAGTAATGCAACTGAATTTCGCGAAATATAAATTATTTGCTCCGAGATGCTTTAAAATAAGTATTTGTGCAGCGTGTGTGTGTGTTGTTGAACTGACAAAAGTAGAATATTTTACGCCGAATCGACCGTTACATTCAGCAACCGAGTGAGTCAACCGCGTGCGCATAGAGATTAAAAAATGAAAAATACAAACCAGATTTTACATCCGTCTCTTCATCTGATTCTTTTGCAAAACGTGGCATTGTTGTTACCGTTCAAACAATATGCTAGTAATAATTCGTACAAAAGAAAATTATTCAATAAGAGGTTACACATTAACACGTGTTGTTACGTGAATTCAAACTAACGGCAGATTCAACCTTAACCACGTTGCGCGCAGAACATCCGCCGTAGAAAATGTTTCCAGAGCCACCAAGTGACGAAATTCAGTATTGTTTCAATTCTTTCGTCAAGTCCGTTAAAAAGAGCTCTCTTTTGCAACTTAAACAATTAACTGTTATACAACTGGATTTGTGCAAAAATGTACAAATTTGTGGTGCGTCTCGCTCGAAATAACAGAACTTGTAATTTCGTGACAGATGAAAATTATTTCGTAATGACTGTGAAAAGTGCGGGAAATAAAAGAAATCAAGTCAGCGTATCATCAAAAATGTAGACACGATATATTTTTGGTAAGTCTGTTTTCGATATTATCTAAAGTTGCGTAAAATAATTGTTTATTTGAAATTAATAGTAATAAATAATTTTCGTAGAAATGTGTGTTATATTCGAAATTCTTTTAATAATTACTTATTTACGTTACCGATTAACTGCCGAAACTGCCTGGAACAATTGTTAGGTCACTTTTGATCCATATCGGAATTGTAAATACTAAATATCATCTAGAATGATAATAAATATCATCAAGACTAGAATGAAAATATTGTAATTTTTTGCTTTGTATTATAGTTACATCAAACAATATTCTACACGGATCCTAAGGTGATCCATTTGAGAGTTACGCACATATTATGAAATAATTTGAGAGTTAATGCATATATTATGAAATTATTTATATTTATTTAATGAATTCAATTTTTAAATTTGAATTTAGAAACTGTATTTCCGACACAACTAAGATTTAACAAAATTCTAATATCAAGCCCGGCTAGCTCAGTCGGTAGAGCATGAGACTCTTAATCTCAGGGTCGTGGGTTCGAGCCCCACGTTGGGCGATGTTATTTTTTCTTTTCTTTCTAAAATAATTTTTTATATTATCACATTGATATTTATATACATGATATTATAAATTAAATGTACATTTATTTTCGAACATATTAATTACAAATTTATTTGCTCATAATTTATTTTCATAGTTCACAGTTCATATCAAGTGAAAAATATCCGATCAATTATGATCGATTATAAATGGTTTATGATTGTTTTTTATTAAATCGAACTTTAATGTGCAATTTTTTTGGTCCATTTTGTGCGTAATCTCTCACCGTGAATAATAGTTAGGATATCAACTACAATTTAAAAATGTTGAAATTTTTATTGTTGGAAGTTGATCTTATAGCAATGATGATTCACATGAGTTGTCTTTTTCAACAATTTACACAGGATATCAACGTATACATATTTACGAGTCGGTTTGAGACATTTCGGAAAGAGAAATCGTTTTAGTTAGAATTCTTTAGTGGAACAGAATTGTGGAGGAAAGCTGAGCGTTACTCAAAGCTTAGAAAATTAAAATTATTACTTGTGACACTCAAAGGAGTTTAGGCTTTAGTAGTAATGTGACAGATGTATGAAAGGATATATTTCCTTCTCAATTGCAGTTAAATAATATAAGTGAAGAATAGATATAATAGTTTAATAGTTTTAATAATACATACAAGTGAGTTTACCAAAAACTTGGAAAATGCATCTTCTCCTGGAACTTACAGGTAAATCAATTTTAACAAGCAATTTGTAATGTAACTTGTAATCTGAATATTTGTGAATTTACGGGGGAGGAAAAATCTACGTTGATATTGTGTATAGTAGGCAAAAATAAAATATCCAAAGTAACGTGTACTATAATATATGAAACGATGCATTTTTTTAAATTTCGTTTCTTTAATTGCGTTTATAAAAATGTAAATTTGCATGGAACACTCAATGGTAGATTTAATGCAACGCCGAGACAAGCCATTCATTATTATGCTGCATTTCGTGTTTATGATCGTGTCTGCGTGTCTGACTATGCTGGATGCTTCACTACTTACGATGAGCGAGTACAGTGAACTCTTTTATCGCCAAATACGAATCGGTTCATGTTGCAAAACATTGGATTTTTAAACTGGTAGCTCGTGTTGCAAAATATTGGGATTTACAATTGAGAGCTCGTGTTGCAATATATCAAGATACGAGATCGTCGGCTCGCATTGCAAAATATTACAATTTACAATGAAGAACTCGTGTAGTAAAGTATTAGAATTAAACAATGACACATTGGAAATACAAGCTAGGAAACAAGGATGCAAACTTACGCTTGCTTCTTTTTCAAACGCGATGTGTTTCCTTCGAGAGAGAAATTATGAATTTAAAATTGAAATTAAACAATGCGAGTTTTTTGTTCGATATAGTTTTTCTACTGAAAATGTACGATGGCCATAAGAATACACTATGACACGAGAGCGCAACATCGAGTGGAACATTTCTCATGCTGAGATATATATTCACTTATTGGTTCCTAGGAAACCTTATTGATCGAATAAAGTTATTCAATATACGAACGACAAGCATTTGCTTTCTACGTCAGTGTAAGATAATATCAAAGAATACTTCCATCGTCTTTCCTTAATATCGTAAAAACAAAGAAACCAGTAAGAAAAAAAACAGTCAATGATAGACTTTTAATAATAATTTTTCTATAGTTTCTATAGTTACGCAATTTTCAATAAATCTTCAGAGAGCAATGAAACTTTAGTTGCTATAATTCGTTACATTTGTATAACTTCTCTGAGATCTTAATTAGGACTTGAAGTCCCATTTCACTTTAGAAATGACATTTAATTTATTCTTCCCAAATTCGAGCCCATTGTTGTCCATCATTATTAAAAAAAAAAAATCTGTTTTAGAATGGTCAGTTTCTTTTTCTTTTACTTTTCAACAGTCTCAGTTTCATATGTAACTGATGCATTTTACTTTATATTACTTTCACTCGATACGATTACCTATACGAGTGCCTCGAATTTATTTAAACTGTCGTATTAAGGTCAAAGACTTTAGGTTTCTACATTCTGGTCAACTATTTCTGCTTTCCGCGTTTCGTTGCCTGTGCTATCGACCCTGGACAACTTCTAAGCCCGGGATCATGTATTTTGACCTAATTTTACCAGGCTACGCCTCCCGTGGTCCTTCGATCAATACTCCTCTGCAACACGCATTTCCTGAAGGAAGTCGTTTATTTTTATCAAACAATTCGTACGAAATATGTATCTAGGATATGGAAAGAAGACTTTGAAAGTATTAGAGTACCTCCGTTAAAACGTTCCGTGCCATGTGTACCACCGGCGGTACACGTTAAACTTGATCTTCAGGCCGCGTGTACCACCGGTGGTACACGCAGTCATATTTTACTTAATTTATTTATTTTTTGTAATCGAACTGATCGCAGCGTACAAGTGGTACACGATGTGATAGCTATTCTAAACAAGAGAACCACTTATCGATTGATGATGTAATGAAAGATTGTGTAATAATACTTGACCTTTAGTCAAAATATCAAATGGCCTGAACGACAACAAAAGGCAAAAATCGATATCAACCCTTTAGTCAAAATATCAAATGGCCTGAACGACAACAAAAGGCAAAAATGCCTTGCCACGAAACGTGATAAATATTAATATAGAACAACTGGATTCTTGTCAGTGTGGACGTTCTTGATTTCGGCGTAACTATCTTTTCATTTCCTACATTAATTGGAAAGAACCACGTGCGATCATGCGATGAAGATACCCACTGTCTAATTTCTCAACAGCTGTTGTTAAGACGAAGGATGGATAAAGAATTTCGCGAATAACGCGGTAGTTCGGCTCGATTCGAAAGTAATGAATTGGGGAAATGATTTCTTTAATAATTTGTCAAGTTGGAAATGGCCAAAATGGCTACCGAAAGAGGGTTGACGCTCATGGCGTATCGAATCCGTGACAACGAGAGGGATGAGAATGCTAAAGTGAAGCTCTAGTATCGATTTTCGTCGCTTGAATTCACCATACACGAAACCTGACCATGGCACACCGCTTCGTCCCTCTTGCTACAACCCCTTACCATTTCCTACACGTTTTAAAACCTCCCTGTACTTACTTTGCCATGCTTATGCTTTTAAAATACAATTTTTATACATGGCATTCGTTTATCTTCTTTTGCATCGACAAACATTTTAATCTAATAATCGAGAAATACTATTTTTTCACGAATTATATTCACTTTAACCTTAAGGACATTAGAAAGTTCCATTGTTCTAGAAAAATTCTCTGCAACGGAGATATAGATTTGCTCTTAAAGAGAAAAAGTCAAACTGACAGTCACTCACTATCAATTTCGTACCGACCAATCCCCCCGTCAAATGATTCGAACGCCCAACGACGAAACAACGAGAACGAAATAAGAAGTAAAGAAGACGAAAGGAGAGCGGAAGAGTAGCATCAGCAACGACACCCTTGGCAGCCAGCGAGGATCGCATCCCCCGGCGAAGGAGAGTCACGGCGCACGATAAAAATAAAGCTCGAACAGAAGACGGTGGCGGAAATTCTCGAGCGTGGCGGAACGGTTGCATCAAAAGTTACGGACGTGTTACGTGAAATCGCGTGACTGGCTGCCGTGGTGAAACGGAAGGCGTGCTGGTTGCAACGACGTGGTGCAGACAGATGGGAGTGGTCTCCGCAATCACGATGGGCGTGGTGCTTTCACGGCGTGTTGCAACTGCACCCCGCGCGCTGCAGCCTCGCTGTGCGCTGCATTTGCCTTCCAAACCGGCCGACGAAGCTCCATTCCGCTTCCGTCGATCGTCCCTCCGTTTCATTCCTTCACAATTCTTCTACACTCGGATAAATCGCGGAAACTCGCGATTTGCCACGTACGTCGAGGATTCGAAACAATTTTTTCCGAGTCTTTCGGGCTTTAAAGCGGAGCACTTCGTCGAACACGAAGTCGAGTGAGGAAGACTTGTGGGATTTAATTTTTATACATCTTTCGTGTTGCTTTTCTAGCAGAAGC